GTTTCATCCAGTTTTCTACACTGGTTTTAAGTGGGTATAGGCAAGTAAAAGATGGTCTGAAGAATGGGGAAAATCTGTTTTCACTGTAAGACAAGGCTTTTCGTAATTGAAAAGGATATATTTGTGTTTGTACAATGTGCCAGCTACATTTGAGAGGCATGTCACTCTCAGCCTGTTTGCTATGCTTAAAGGAGTACGAGTACAGGGTAAGATCTTTGAACAAGAACTCATGCATTTACAAATGATCCGAGATAAGCTCAGGGCTACTAACCTAAAGCTGAACCTGAAAAAATGTAAATTGTTTCTAGATCAGCATGTGGTGGGGGAGGAATTTCCCTTGGCAAAGAAAACTGAAGTTGAACAGAACTGGCCAATTTCTCCAGAGTCCACAAGTGTACAGAGTTATGTAGGAATTGAAGGACTCTGTATTGCACAAGGACTGTGTGGGCTTGGTGATATTACAAAACCACTGAACAGGGTGGATGAGAAACAAGCCAATTTCAGATCAGAGTATTATTTAGGATTCTGCTGTCATGGCCTACTCATGATCCAAAACAACTTCACGTTAGACATAGTGGTAGTGTTTATAGATTAAGGGCATGTCTACCCATCACCATACATCAACATGGCTGTTTTGCAAGTACTAGAGCATGGCATAGTAACTGCCCATACTGCACCCTGCATGCAATGCACAATTAGATTTTGCCACTACTTTGCCATAGTGGCATGCTAAAATGGGGGCACGTGCTGCTATGGCAGAGTAGCTGGCAATCATGTGTAAACTCACGCGATTGTTAGGTCACTGTAGTGCATCATTATGGTGATATAGGGCAATGTGTAGATACAGCATAAGAAAAGTATTGACATAAGAACTTTAAGGACTGAGAAGTTTAAGGACTTTTTATAGCAAAGGAGAAGAAGAAAAAAAAGTTACTGTAGCACCCAAAAGGAGCTACTAGGAATGGTTAACTCTTTAGAATATTTACATCACTCTGCATAGGAGGACAGTTGTAGTGAGAATGGATTACAGAGATGCAGAACAGGCCTTTAGATACAGATATCCTGAGGAGAACTTTGCCAAACGGTTAGAGAAACACAGTGCTATTATTTTATAGCAACGCTCTAGTTACATGCTGATGTGTGATGCCTCATTCACATGGCCTTTTCAGGAAAAAAATTGCAAGCACTAGCCTAGATAGGAGAAAAAGGAATTGGTTGCTCCGGAGAATGTGCGCGCTGACTGCCCGTTTCTTCCCATAAGCTGCCGAAGTGCAAATGTTCCTGGTTCATCTACTGAAAAAAAAAAAAGGCGGGGTTTTAGGAAGGGACACCAGAGCAACTAAAGGTTTCCCAAAACATGAATCCTGATATCAAAACAGAGTGTATTTTCAATATGAATTAAAAAACAGCCACTTTGGAATGCAGTTTCCCTTCAGAATACCACAGGAAAAGCTCCCCATA